TCAAGCCATTATTTTTCGCACTTTCATCAAAATTCAATTTGACCCACATTAGTGGTGGAGACTTCCACATTGTTGCTTTATGAGGATTGCTTGTCTGATTTTGTCAATTAACCTCATCCTATTTTCAAAGATTCTTAATTTTCTTGCCCTCCAAATCTTCCATAGGATCGTTGTGACTGTTATCTTCTACAACAGTCCTACCATTTTTAGGAATGGGTTTGTGATCAAGGTGGTAGCACCATCTACAACTTATCCACCAAATCTCAATTTCCATTCCTACCAATGTTAACCCCTTTTGAAAACTATTAACGGCTTCAAAAATAGCTAACCCACTATAAACAGTTTAAAAAAAAAACAAAAGAGTCTTACCATTTCCCATGGGGTCGCTGCCGTAGTTTTACCGTCACCCTTCCTTTTCAATTGACAGAACCTTGTATGTAGAGTCGATTCCTTTTCAATTGACCGAACCTTGTATGTAGAGTCGATTTTTTATTGCATCTCAACCTCACTATACTTGTACATCAATTTCCAAACAATGTTAGATGAAATATTTGCCGACCCTAAATAATTGGGAAAAGGCTTTGATGATGATTAAATGGAAGAAAACAACTTGATAGGGCTGCAACTCTATCAAAATAAGTAAAGCCGCACATTATAAGCAATTCAGGTATTGAAAAACCTTACATCGATCATCTCGGCTTGAACATTATGGCTATAAAAAAAATTAGAATTTCAAAGTCTAAAAATAACTGTTCACAGATCGTAAGATTTATAACATTTGTTAAATTTCAAATTTTATTGTCGGTGTTGGAAATTGAGTTTAGAGTCATTATGGAGATTTCTGTTGCTGAAAGTGCTTTCCAAATGAAGATTAGAGGTGAGGTTTTACTTGGCATCGGTCTCTTTCCAAATGAAGATTTGAGGTGAGGTTTTACTTGGCATCGGTCTCTTGCCTAATGTTAAGGGCACAAAAATCATACCCCCTAAGAAAAGAAAACGTATCATATGAGAACTCTATCCGCACGAAAATTGTGAGAAAGCTGTTCTCCAATCATATTAACCCCTCTTACCATATTTAAGCCACAATTAAGGCTCCCTCTACCTTACGCAAGTTTTAATCATCATTTTATGGAGGTTGAGCTCAGCTAACTCGAATAAGAAACACGAAAGAGCCTCACCTAATCTCACTGGACAATAGCTCATCCATAAAGGATGTTTCAATAAAATATGGGTTTTCTTAAACTGTCCATTAAAATAAAAAGTGGAGGGTTGAGATCAGCTTTTCCATGGTTTAAGACAATATGGTATGTGATCTACCCAGATGTAGGGCTAGCCAGCCGGGCCAACCCAAGTTCAAGTCGGACGGATCCCATTAGTAGCATAGGCTGGCCCCGATTGGGCCGGGCCAGTGATGGCCCTGACTCTGGGCACAAACCTCATTCCTAGGCCCCTGGTGGCCTGGTTGGCCCCCTAGGCAAAATTTGTGGCCAGTCCCAAGGTGCCAGCCGGTCCCAGGCCATTACCAACTAGTATTGGAAAGAGTGACTCGGTCCAAGTAGTTGGCCCAAGCCCAAGCCAAGTACTCGGCCCTAGTCGGGCTCAGTATTATAGCAACAAAGTGTTAAAAAAGTTAAAACATACAAAAAATCCCCAAAAAAATTAGGAAAGATATATTTAAAGTGAAATTAAACAAAACACATCTAAACGAGATTAAAAAAAATAGAAAAAAATGAATTTTGAAAAAAACATTTTTTGATCGGAAGTATTTTAAATATAACTCAAAAATAAGGGAAAATATAAAACTAAAGGAAAAGTACACAAAAATATCATCTACTTTCTGTACAAGGATGTCATAATCAAGTTTGTCCTTCATATTTGAAAATGTGTGTTATAAGAGTGTCACTGAATAAATTCAAAGTTCTAAAAAATTTTCTTGAACTTCACAACTCACCCCAAGCCGTCCAATTTGAAATCTAATGAGCCGTAATAATTGTGGCCTCTTTGTAACAAAATCAATGGTCTCTTTGTATACAAATCTCAAAAATAAATATGGGAAAGTATATAATGAGATCATTTACCTTTGGTACAAGATGGTCAAAATTAATTTTGACCATTGGATGTTAAATTATGTAACTGCATTTATTTTATTGACTAAGCTCAAAGTTCAAAAGAAATTTTCTTGAATTTTATGACACGCCCAAGCTTTCAGATTTTACACTAAATGGTTGTAAGTAATTGTGACCCCATATACAGAAAGTAAATGGTCTCATTGTATACAATCCTAATATTAACTACTAAAGCATTCTCCAATCTTTACCAAAATGACAGAAAATATAACTTCCCTCATTTTTAAAATTTTTTATAATGTTTGAATTTTGTAAAAATCCTTGAGAGAGTCACTCGCTAGCTAACTCGAGTTGGATTTGAGTGGCAAGCCCGAGTTACTCTGCTCGGCCCGAGCAGTAGAACACTGTTGCCAACCCTATTGAAATTCCTTAAGATCTTTACCGTCCATGGGGTGAGGTAGCTCACCTATTTTTTGCACGTATTCGCCAATTTCAAATAAATCATGATGTAGTTCATTATCTAGGTCTAATTAAATACCAAGCTGATAATTCGCTTAGAAAACTTCTTAAACGTCAGTTTCATGAGACGGGCTCATCTGGACCACCCGTTTTATGACCAATCCATAAGTACCACGAGAGAAATGGGTCCCACATTCGAGCAATGGGTGGGCCCTTGCTACTAGATTTAGATCAATCATGGAAATGGACGGTCAAGATAAACCTTAATTCACTTTCATTGAAGTTACTTAAAAGATTTAGCATAATTATTAAGGTTTTTTTTCCATGAAAGGATAATTAACTAGTACCCAAAAGTCCAAACCACTAAGATAAAGGGTTCATCCTCTTACTCAGCCCAATTAAAACTCAGTAAGGTTCACAATATGATTAAATTTCAGCCCAATTTTGACCAAACACTACAAAAAAGCAAAGCAATTGAGGTCAAAATGGGGCAAATGATCACACCAAGAACAAGTAGTGTATAATGCATTTAATATATGGAAGGTTTTGGAATATATGGTCATGGAGTTTTTTATATAAAGTTTATAAAACAAGCATGCCCAAGTGTTCCACGCAGCTTCTCACATGGGATTAGCCTGGCATTAAACACCCAATCTCGGATCCTTTAATTTCCTTTTAATCGTTGATTAAAGCTCTAAATTTCTCTAAAAAAATCACCTAATCTCTATCTCTATCTTTCTGTCTCCTAATCTCTCTTTCTCTCTCTCTCTAATCACATGGAAAACGATGTTGCAACTCACACCACCACCTATTCAAAATGCTCTCTCTCTCTACACCAATTCAAAGTTAGTTTACTCATGTGCCAACCCCAAGTGGTGGTCAAAACCTAAATGTAAGCTGTCTAAATGTTTGGCAAATGACTAATTTCTCTTTCTCTCTCTTTTAAATTCTAGAATGACAAAGCGGTATCTATATTTTATTTTTTTTTGTACAAGGTAGTCACAATTAATTTTAACCGTTGAATGTAAAATTGGATAGTTGTATTTATTTCATTGACGAAGCTCAATGTTAACAAATTTTTTTTAAAATTTTGTAACACATTCAAACTATCAAATTGCACATCGGATGGTTATAAGTAAGGGTTATGCTTGAGTACCCATTCATATGAGTATTTACTTAAATGTACTCAATATTTTTTTATATTCAATATCCTTACTCCATTTTATGGGAGCATTTTTCCCTTGAAATATTTTAAGTAATTAAACAGCAATAAAATTGAAATTCTAAAAAGACAGATGAGCATTTATTACCTACAATAGAAGATGGCATGATTTGTGACATCACTCAATCCTATAAGTAATTAATTGTGACATCTTGGTATAAATAGTTAAATAGTCTCATGTAAGGGTGGTAGGGCTTCGGCCACAAAATGCCGTCCGCGGGCCAAGTCTGGGCCAGGGCAAGATAGGCTGAACCCAACCCGGCCATTATTTCTTTGACTATTTGCTTCATTTTTTGTGTAATTTTTCGTGACCCGACCCCATACTAATAAGGCCGGGGTCATAGCTTTTGAGAATGAGAACACATCGTATTCCAGCTTTTGCATGTATGGTATCCCCTTTAACTTTTTGCATATGACAATTTCCATATGCTCCCCACTGTACCCAACTTTTCCAAATACCTGACCACGCGGGACCACGGCTCCATAACACGAGCAATTGATCCATTCGAATTAATAATTTGGTTTTTTAGGTTTCTACATAACTTAAACGAAAAAGATTATATAAGGATGCTACATGTAGAACTACGGATGCTCCTCAAAAAATCCATCGAAAAAACAATTTTAATGTTGAAAAACCCCTTGATTCATCATCTCGACATCGAGATGTATGATTATGAAAAATAAAAGGACTTTTTATATTTAAAAAATAATGTATTTTACAACATATTATCTGCACAATCTATTTTTTAAATTTTCATATATTTACTAATCTATTTTTTTTAACCGTTTTTAAAATTTAAAATTTTATAGTTAAATATAAAAATAAATTTTAAGATAATCCTAAAAACATTTTACATCAAAATTATCTACACTTACTGATGTATCCGTACGCGAACTGCACCCTAACTTAAAACCCTGCAAAACGGTGGTTTGAAGCAGCTGGTATTTTACGAGTAGTGTTTTCTCTCTCTAAATTGGATTCCTTTTTTCAAATACATTCCTCCTCTCTCTCTCTAAAACTCATTCTTTTTTAGAAAAATATTGGCCTTTGTGTGCTGTTATTTCCTGGGAAAACTCGCCTGTTGGTGTTGTCCTAAACAAGCTTTATTGCATGGGAAACATGAGAGAGACAGATGGGTTTATGAATTTAAAATTCTTAGCCTTGTAAGTGTACCATTTTTTTTGCATAGAAACCTAGAGAGAGAAAATGGGATTTTATTTTTTCAGATGAAAGTACAGACAGAAAATGGTTTAAAAAATGATGGGTGATTCCATCTCAGCCGTGCCAGTCCGACCTTACACGCATTTGACTGGGTTCCAGCTCCAACCAGCAGCCTTTCTTGGGCATTGCTTCTCTTTCCCTCTCTACCTTCCTCAGTCCCTTTCTGCAACCACTGTTTAAACCGTCAAAAACCATTCACATATATACCCCTCTCTCATGGCTTCCCATCGCGAAACTCTCTCTCTCTGTCTCTCACTATTCCCCTGTTCTAGACATAACACTCCTCTTTCTCTCTCTATCACACAAACTCTTCTGAACTGTTCTTCTTCTCTCTCTAGAAAGGAGAGACTATCTTTTCATTCTGTTTCTCTCTCTTGAAAGGGAAGAAATGGTTCACCACCATCGCCACCACCCCCAGCAGCAGCGGAGCAAGTATGATGAAGAGGCAGCAGAGGCCCTAGCCTACATGGACTGCGCAAACCTCTGCAAGAAAAGCAGGCCCCGCTTTCTGAGGATCCTCTTCATCTTTTCTATGGTCTCTTGTAGCCTCGTTTTTGCTCCTCGTCTCTTCTCCCATGGCGCCCTCCCCTTCCTCTGTAAGTTTCCTCTCTTTCTCTCTAGAAAATAACTTTCTTTCTCTCTCTAAATAAACCCATAAAATCTCTTGCTCCCTCTGTTTCTCATCCATTTTTTCTTTTGTTTTTGCAGATTCTTTCTCAGAAGAGGACCTTGACGATGGCTTCTCAGCTACAAGAACCAGTCTCAACATGTGCTCCTCAATCAAGAATGGTAAATCCCTGCAACCCACTGAATACTTCAACAACCTACTTCTCTCTCTGATTTTTTATCAAGAATACTGCAACCTACTGCTCTGTCTCTAATTTTTTATCAAGAATGCTTCGACCAGTTAATTCACTCTCTCTCCTTTTTTATCAAGAATACTTCTCTCTCTATCTCTAACCCATTTATCTGACTTCATGAAACAGGAACCATATGCTGTAATAGAAGCAGCATCCGCTCTGACATCTGCTTCATGAAAGGGGACATAAGGACCAGCTCCTTCTCCTCATCAATCATCCTCTACTCTGGTGAAAATAGCTCATCCATTGTGGAAGAGGAGCATAGAATAAGACCATACACAAGAAAATGGGAACCCCATGTTATGAAAACAATCGACGAAATCTCTCTCATCAAAACCGGAGAAGGAAGCGTCGAATCTTCCAAGCTTTCTTGCGAAATCGAGCACAGAGTTCCTCTCATTGTTTTCTCAACAGGTGGTTACACGGGCAACGTTTACCATGAATTCAATGATGGTATTTTTCCTCTGTATATCACTGCTCAGAAATTCAAAGGAGAAGTGGTTGTCGCCATGGTTGAGTACCATGATTGGTGGATTATGAAGTATGGTGATATTCTTTCGAAGATCACGAATTATCCAGCTATTGATTTCTCAGGAGATCGAAGAACCCATTGTTTCCCTGAAGCCATTGTTGGCCTCCAAATTCATGATGAGCTCACTGTAAATTCCACGTTCATGGAGGACCATAAGAGCATTGCGGATTTTCGGGCTCTTCTTGACCAAGGTTATACTCCAAGAATTCGAGATATCGAGGAAGAGGAGAGAGAGATGTTGAGAAAAGAAGAAAGAGAAAGGGGCAAGAGAGAGGACAGACAAATTGACAGGGGGGATGAAAGAGAAAGGGTGAGGAAAGAGGACAGAGAAAGGAGGAAGAGAGAGAAAAGGGAGAGAGAAACTGGGGTCTGGAAGCCGAGACTTGTGATCGTGTCTCGGAACAATTCGAGAGCGATACTAAATCAGGACGAGGTAGTGAGAGAAGCTGAGAAAATTGGATTCGAGGTCAAGGTATTGAGCCCGACCCCATCGACCGAGCTCGCAAAAATTTACAGAGCTCTCAATGCCAGTGATGTTATGGTGGGTGTTCATGGAGCAGCCATGACCCATTTCTTGTTCATGAAACCAGGTTCAGTTTTTATTCAAGTTGTTCCATTAGGGACTGATTGGGCTGCTCAAACTTACTATGGAGAACCAGCCATGAAAATGGGGCTCAAGTATTTTGGTTACAAGATACTGGCTAGAGAGAGTTCTTTGTATAACGAGTATGAGAGAGAAAGTCCAGTGTTAAAGGATCCAGATAGCATAACAAGAAAAGGGTGGGAGGAGACAAAGAGGGTGTATTTGGATGGTCAGAATGTGAGGTTGGAGATGCAAAGGTTTAGAAAGAGGTTACTCAAGGCTTACACTCATGCAGTGGCAAGGAGAAAGAGGAGGGGTTCTAGAGAGAGGTGAGACAGAGAGGGTGGAATATGGGTGAGATAAAATGATGGGGTCTGTAGATAGCATTCTTTTTATTGGTAAATTGATCTTTGGTTATATAGCTCTGCAATTTCCAACCTTTTCTTTTTGTTTTTGAGAATCTTTCCTGTTGCACTCTTGAATCTCTGTCTCTCTCTCTCGCTCAATATGGCTCTCTATCTCCCTGTCTCTCTCGCTCAATCTCTCTCTTTCTCTGCCTCTCCTTCTCTGCCTCTCTCTCTCTCTCTCTCTGTCTCTGACATCAGATGAGATTCACTTTTGCGTGGCAGGTCAGGTAGCTTAAGCATCCTTAAGGGCCAAATAAGCTTTTCATGGTCTTTTCCTGTATTGAGAAATCAGGTCCTCTCTGCAGTGCATGCATCTCTCTTTTTGTTATCTTCTCGTGCAGAGGGTTCAAAATGGCTTTTGTCATTTTTAAGGGTAACGGCCTTAAACTAACAGTCTTCTTGTGAATAGCCAAACCCTTTAAATGTGATTGATAGGGCAGATGAGGGTTTTTGCCTTTGGTCAATTCTGAGATAAACGGTCCTAAGATAAGGAGCAGGGTTATTACCATGATCATGAACACTAAAACAGGTGTAGGAAAATGAAATTGAACTTCAAATAAGTCTATTTGGGATGTGTTTCAGATCCTAAAACCCTTGAAAACCAAGGCACACATTTTCGAAATAAGAGGCCAAACATTGTAAAATCAACACAGAAGAACAAGAGTAACGAATAAGGGTGGGTTTTGCGTATGCGGCTATGTATGCATGCAGATGAGGCCAAATAAAAATAGATGGTGCAGATGTGCTGAGACCATGTTACGGTCGGTGATATTTATCGGACGGTGCAACCTTTTCAAAATAAATAATAAGCCAAAGCATATATGCCATGCGCAATGATACCATTGTCAATCTTGCCACAAATGGATCTCTGGTGTATCAGATGCCATGGACAATGGTGTACATTGTGATTCATATACAGCTTTAACTGAGATTTCCTTGATTACTACCAATGAGAGAAGACACTTGAACTTGCCATCGCTTCCCATCTACCAATCAAGTTGACTACATTATTGTATCAATTGACTCAAATACAGTGAACCAACTGATACCATCCTTAACTAAAAGAAACTGGTCGGTACAGAATTTAGGTTATTTTCAACATATGTTATCCTTCAACAACAGAAAATCTACGTGCATGTCTGTATGTCTGAGAGAGAGAGAGAGAGAGAGAGAGAGAGAGAGAGAATGAGATAATACAAATGGCAGTATCAGC